AAAAATTTTACTTTTATAATATAATATATATTAATATTTAAAAATACTGTCGAAAATTCAATAAAATTCTATTTTATTCTTATTTATTTATTAATACCTGTTTTTTTTTAAATATTAAATTCTTTATATAAAAATTTTACCGGAATACGTAAATTTAAAATAATTTTTCCTCAATAAAATTAATTTAATTAAAAAATTTTTTTTAAATTTCTTAATAATAATTTAAAAAAATAAAAATTATTAAATTTAAAAAAGGTTTTAAATGCTCTATTCATAGGTACGGCACACACCTAAAAAAATTTTTTTTTTTTTTTAAACCCGACCTAATTATGGAAAATTGTTGGAAAAACCAAAGAATTATTCCTTTAATCATGTCGTCCTTAAATTTTTTTTTTTTAAATATGAATAAAAATTATTAAAAAAAAAAAAAAATTAAAAAACTTACCTTTATATTAAATCATAATTGAACAGCACACAATTTAACTAAATAAAATAATATTAAATTAATTAATTAATAAATTAAAATAAAAATATTTAAAAAAAAAAACACTTCTAACGCGTAAAACGATCAACTTGATAACTGACCGGAAATAAAATTAACACTGCGACTTGAATCGTTGAATAACAAAAGGAAAATGAAATACGAATCATGACGCCAGCGTCGAAGACTTGGGGGCGGAGTTTAAAACTGAGGCGTTTTAATTTTCCACGTCACAGTCTAAACAGCCAATCAAAATCATTTATGATTTTAAATAAAGTTTAAAATGAAAATTGAAATATTTTTAAATGGGGCCATTTCAAAAAATTTTGTTTGGGGGGTTTTTTTTCCAGGAAAATTTTTTTCCCATGCTTTTAAAGTTTTGAAAACAAATAAAATAAAATAATTTTTTTTTTTTTATTTTCCTTACATTCCTAAAAATTTTCCTTTCTTTTATTAATTTTTTTCTTTTTATAAATTTTAATTATAATTTTTTAATTTAAACATTTTAACGTTAATTACGATACAAATTAAATATTTAATTGATAATATCAAAACTTTTCATTCTAATTATTTTTTCTTAAGCTTATCAGTAATGCTATTTTAAAAATTTAATTTTTTCTTTAAAATTTGATGAGATTTTAAAAAAATTTCCATCACGTCATTCGAACGAAATAACAATAAAACTTAATTTTTTTAAAATTTATGGAATAATAGTAAAATATAAAACGTCACATAATATGAAAATCATACAATAAAACTTTAAAAAAATAATAGTTTGGAATTATATGAACAATTTAAATGCAGAAACAAAATATATATAGAGAAAGAGAGAGATGGAAAATATGATGGTGAAAAATAAACGGAAAAAATGAAAGCCACATTTAACGAAGGTTTTCAAAGTCAAACCCATTATAAAAAAAAAAAAAAACTTAACGAGCATTAGGGTGCATAATATTTATTTTATAATATATATATATATATATATATATATATATATATATTATCATGTATATTGCATAATATATATATTTACATATGAAATTTTTTATATTTATTTAGTTATAAAACAAAAATTTTAAATAAATAATATTTATATGTTAAACAAGAAAAAGGAAAACTAATTAATACCTTTTTTTTAAAGGTGTTTAATCTTATTACTTTTATAAGTTAGTAATTATAAATAAAAAAACAACAACAAGAAAGAAAAACATAATGAAATGTTAAAAAAAAAAACAAGCATTATTATAAATGTTTGCGTAAAAAAATGAAACATATGGTATAACTTGTCATTCCCCAAGAGGAAATGTAAATAACGACAAAAACTTTTTTTGTTAAACAAAATGGCGTTAAATGTTATAAATTATCATCAATATTCTTGCGCTGTTGTTATGGTAATTAGTTAGTAAAAGCCAATTACTTAGGTCACAATTCCTTTGGGATTTTATTATTATTTATGCTGTAGTGAACATATTCAGTTTTCCCTTATTATTTTTACGTATTATTTATTTTATTTAAATTTTTTTTTCCTTCTTTTATTTATACAAATATAAGTGATAATTATATCGTTCTTTTTTCACTTGATATTTATGTTATTATTATTATTAATTAATAAATTCATTAATTTCAAAAAAAAAAATTGTAAAAATTGTTGAATATTTAATAAATTACGTAATCAACCTGATGAAAATAAAATTTACCCTCACCTTTTTTTTTTTTATTTATTTAACTTTTTCCTGACGATTATTTACCCCATCAAAAACCGGTTGACATTTTGTCAATATTGGACATTAAATTTAATTAAATTAAAGTTAATCGATAGAGAATATTTTTTTTTTTGTTTTGGATTGACGTTCGTTTAATCAACTAACAATCATATTACGTTTCAGATTTAAAAATAAAAAAAAAATTTACAATATATATACATGTATTAACCAAATCATGTATGAAATAATATATATATATTTTTTTTTGTTTAAATATATAAATCATTTTAAAAATTAATAAGTTTTTTTTTATTCAGATTATACCTTCCATACGTATATCCATATATATATTATAATCAAGGATTATGTTTATTTTCGTCAAGTGATGCGGATATTATCATAAAAAAAATGCTACACAATGAAAATTAATAAACGTATTTTTTTTTTAAATACTTTAACGGATCAACTAAAAATTGCTGTTGTTATTTTTAAATTTTCAGTATAAAAAAAAAAAAAAGTAAAAACTTCAAATGCGTGAAAATGATATTTTAAGTAAAGACGCGTGTAAATAAGAAAATGAATATTTATACACAACAGAGACATCTGTTTTTAAAATTAAAACTAAATAATACAATCAATTCAACTGTTTTAACAAGTACAAATTAGTTTTCCGTAAATATCATAGATGTCAGAAAACGCCAAAAACAAGTTTTTGTTTTCTTTAATGGATAAATCAATAATGTTTTTTTAAAAAAATACATTAACATTATTTATTTATATTATCAAAAGTTTTGCAAATAGTTTAAAACTATCCCAACTTGTCTTTAAATTTGTTTCTTCCAACCACTTAATTCAAACATGAAGAAAAATGCTTCGTAGCAGAAAAAGCAAAACAAAAGTTTCATTATATACATTTTTTAAAGTAAAAAATAAGCTTATACGATTAGAAAATAAT